GCTGCTGCTGCTGCTGCTGCTGCTGCTGCTGCTGCTGCTGCTGCTGCTGCTGCTGTGGGGCCTGATGGTCTTGAATGCTGGAACGCCCCATTTGGTGAATCAGCCAGTGCAGATCCACCTGCCTCGTCCTCGCCCACTCCTTGACGCTATCTCTGTACGCGCTGAGGATCTTGGCGAGCCCATTGTAGAACTCGAGACCCTCGATCAAGTTGCTGGAGAGTTCGCGGTACTTGATGTAAGCCGCATCGAGGTTCTGCAGCGCCTTTTCGCGGCGCTGGATGGTTGCATCGCTCCTGCGCGCCTCGACAAACGCCGCGTTACGTTCCTTGATCTGCTCCAACAGCTCGACCTGGGCCTTTTCAGAGGCATCGAGGTCCTCTTTGAAATGCGTGTACTTGGCCAGCTCGCGGTCAAAGAGCTCTTCGAAGTCGGCCGCCGCGATTTCGCCTCCGCTGGCGGGAGAGCTGGTCGAGAGCGTCGCGGCGTCGCGCATCACCATGGGTCGGATGTCGTCGGCAGCCGCAAGCGTCTTTGCTTCCGTCACACATGCGGAGCGCGAGTCGAGCAGGTCGTCCAGATGCTCGAGCCTCTCGCGCAGCGCACGCACCGCCTGCACCTGCTGCTCGGACGCACGCCCACCTCCGGCCCCACCGGACAGAGCCATGGGGTTGGATGAAGGCACAAACGCCTCAAGTCCATCGACATTGCCGCTGAGCACACCGATAAGGTCCTCCCAGTCGTCGAGCTTTCGCCTCACAATGTCGTCCGACGCCGCAGCCTTGATCAGCGTCTCGTGGTACTCTGCAGCCTGACTCTTGAGCTCGGTGTTGACTTGGCTGCTAGGTGGCCTCGCCCAGCCCTGAGATGAGAACGAAGCTCGGACCGATTCGTCTTCGCGCTCCTCGTGCTCGATGAGTGCAAGCGCTTCGGCGAGCGTGTCTCGATCGGTCGCAGCAATACGTTCGACGTCGTGGGCGATGCGCTGGAGCCGCTCCAGACCGCCCTGCGACACCACCTCTTCGTGCTTTCGGAGAAGCGAAGGTGGCAATCCCATAGGCTGTTCGAGCGCTTGCAGTGAACCCGGCAAGTTGAGACTTTGCAACGTGCTGGTTGCCAAAGCATCCAACTCGTCTCTGCGCGAGGCGAGCTCATCTCTCAACAGCGAGTCCTTGCGATCGTCGTAGATGCTGATGGCGAGATGGACGCCGTACGGCACTAGCTCTGCGAAGAGTGGCTTGCCAAAGGCTGGTGGAGGTGCATCGCGCAGGTGGGCGATGGGTTGCGCCAGCTCGACGGGCGTGACGGGCTTGACCATGGCGGCTGCTTGGATGGGCGCGAGCTGAGACGCAGGCGTGACGGCCTCGAGATAGATAAGGTCGTTGTCGCGCGAGGCGCGTGCGATGTTGGATTGAAGGATGCCTTGCAAGCTCTTGAGGTCGCTGGTGATGGCGTCGCTGACACCGCGCTTGGCCGAGTCGAGCGCCTTCTTGACGTGTTGTTCTGCGAGATGAAGACGACCGAGCTCGTCGCCGTAGCAATTTGCGCCGAGGTCGTCGCAGGCCTTGCGATACTGCGCAGCTGCTGCAAAATGCCAGCGCTTGACAGCCAGGTGATTCTCCCATCCGGACGGCAGCGTGAGCTTGCCAGTGTCGGTGTATGCATTCTTGTGGCTCGCATCTTGGGCAGTGGAGTCGGACACGGCCTGCAAAGCGGATGCGTAGAAGTCTGCGACTTTCTCTGCAAGCTTGGCGATGGTCGCATCTTTGAGCCGGTCGACGACCGCCTTCTGCCAGAAGCATTCCTGCGCCTGCGCCAGCATGAGATCCTTGAGGCAGCTGAGCAAACGGGGATGCAGATCGGCAGAGGGAGGCGTGAGATGGGCGGTAGGCTCGACGAGATTGTCGATGATGTACTGGAGCACGCCTGCGGCATTTTGGAACCAGGCAGTGGCGCGCTTGATGCTCTCCTTTTCCGATCTGGATTCAGCGCTGCCGAGGGCCGAGTACAGAGCCGCGAGCGCGAGGAGCAGATTCGCCCTTTCGAAGGCGAGATCGGGATGCGCTACAGTATCACTGGTTGTGTATGCAATTCCGGAAGCTGGTCCAGCCTCGGCGGAGGTGGTTGCCTCCATGGCGCCAGAGACGGTGGAGGTCCATGATGGAAGCGACGGCGGGAAGGAGAGCGACCAGGGGAACGAGATGTTGATGTTGGACGGGAACTTGGTGGCAAAGAAGACAAGCTGGGCGTGATACTGAAGCAGTGTATCGATGGCCGAGACATGCAGATCGGCTGAGCTGATCTGGTCGCGGAGACGTGCAAAGTCGCGGATGTCGTTGGTAAAGGCGTCCGGATGGGTGTCGGTGTAATTGTTGGCGATGTAGTTACGGATCGCGGCGGTGAGCGGCGCCGTGATGGAAGGCGTGCGCTTAGACGGTATGGACAGCACGTTCTTGGGCATGACTGCGGTGGGTGCCGTTGCAGAGGGGGATGGTGATGGTGATGGGGTGGCTATCAGATCGGCTGAGTTGGTTGGTGCTCCGCTTTTTGAGAGCGTCACCTCCACCTCAACACCCGAGTGACCGAGTGACCGAGAAGGCTAGCCGGCCGAGAATCGACTTGGACTCGGAATTCGGGAGAACGCGCCACCACCCTCGCTCCTGCGGGAATTTTTTCGAGAAGTGGAAAGTCCATGCGCACCTGTGATCCTTCCGGGTCTTCCAGCACCGACCATCTGCGAACTCACCGCCTTACTGTCACACGCCAAAGCCGACAGAACCATCATGTCGACTCAGCAGGGCACCTCTAGCAGTGCTGTAGCTGCCTCTGCCGCCGATGAGCAGCCAACGCCGCAGCAGCTCCTCTTTGCCAAGTCGATCATGCTCACCTTTGAGCTCTGGCCCGCCATGCGCCTCGCCGTCTCCGAGGAGTGGGGCGGCTCTGACAGCGCCGACAAGCGAGACTTCCTGCTCTCTCACCTCTGCGATCAGTACGGCAACCCAGGGCCTGCCTTCGAGCCCGATCTCGACGATCTCGCCGACATCCTCGAGGGCTACATGATCGACGAGTACGAGGCGCGCCTCGAGGATGGCTCGCCCGACTGGGTTGCTGGCCGAATCGTCGGACTGCACCGTGTCATCTTCTCGCCTGACAACGACGTCGCTCGCGCACAGCAGGCCGTGGCTGAACTCGAAAAGGCCTTCCAAGAACTCAAGGGTAAAAAGTCCAACTTCGAGCACGGCGCCGACCAGGATACCGAGGTCGACTCGCACGACGGTCACGACCACGACCAGGACCAAGATATGCGCGATGCACAACGCATGGCCCGTTCCCAGGGCGGCATCATGGAGGCCGACAGGGCAGGAGCACAGGCCGCCTTGGATCAGCAGCAGGCCAGAGCGCCTCGCGAACCACAGCAGCCTATCGTCGATGAGGACGGCTTCGAGACCGTCGTCTCCCGCAGGCGCCGCAAGTAGATGCGAGACTCATTTCACACTCGTTTCCCATCGCTCGTTCCTCCACGAACATGTACTATAGAATCGCAATCGGGACTCAGCTCATGACGACAAACCGTTCCACATCTGCTCATGTTCAGGATGCCTTCCGATGCTACACAATCCCGAAATAAGCTACGAAAAAGAAAAGGAAAAAAGCGAGCCCGAAAAAAGGAGTCGAAAATTTCATTCACTGTTAGACTTTGGCGCCGGGATCCTGCACGGAAGGTCGACCAAATTTGGACAGCTGTCAATCCTGCCGGCCATATCACTTTGTACTTCTGGCGTCTGGGTCGGGTGCCATCGCAAGCACTCGCATCCCTGCACTTGGCTGCACTGTCGATCCCACGAAATGCATCCTATGCCAAGCAGCGCAGATCCGAACACGCTATCTTTGTTCGTCGGACGTCTACCGTGCCTGATCATCTGGATGGAGGTGCAGCACACCGCAGCAGCGCAGACAAGCCCGTCTTGCGAACTTGCCTCCTAGCTTCAAACTTCTACGCAGCCTATATCCCAAACAATCTGAGCGCTTTGATTGCTGAGCGAAATGATGACGGTGCTTGTCTCCCGGTCGTGAACAAAGAAGACGCCTGCAAGCCTGAGACAAGGTCGTCCTCACCGTGAGCTGCCGCCTCTCCTGACTTCTCCTCCTCCACCATCTACATCACACGTCTTGGCAGTCCCACATCCACCTCGTCTCAAGGTCGTCTGCAACCATCACATTCGGCCATCATCAACCCAACAAGCTTCTCCGACCTAAGTTCGAAACGCCGTGGCTGATAATGTGGCCCGGTTCTTCCCCGGCTTGGCGAAAGCGTCAGCCGGGTCCCAATACAAAGCCGAGGCTCGGAAACAACATCAACCCTCCGAAGTCGTCAAAGCCGAGCTCAAATCCAGCTTTGGGCGACTCAACCTGGGCCCCTCTGGAGCTCGTTCCCATCCTCGAGCGCCAGCTCGACGCGGATGGTGAGCTGGCGTCCGCTCAAGAGGATCCATCAGACGAGCCGATTCCGGCCGTCACATACAACAATGGCATGTGGACACCTGCAGCTGCCACTCAGGTAGCAACTCCGACACTGCCAGCATTTACTGCAACGGTAGCGCTTGCACCGACAAGCGCAGAAGACGCAGTTTCTGCCACCGAATTGTCGTCACAGACAGCACTACCCTCAAGATCGTCAGCATCCTCTCGGCTGTCGTCAGCTTCAGTGAGCTCGATGTCCAGCTCATTGTCCTCCACCGACTCTGCGTCCTCAACGTCGACATCAAGCGCTTCTCCGAGCGCCACCTCGGTCCAGAGTGAAAAGCACAGCGGCGGAGGTGGCGGATTCAAGCTGGTCTACCTTGCACCCATTCTGGTCTTTGTCGGTCTGCTCCTTCTTTTCAGTGTCGGCGGACGCATGTGGGGCCGTATTCACCGTGCCTCCCGCGTCGAAGCTGCAAGACGCGCCAAGTTTGACAAGCGCGCCTCGCGTCAAGCAAAGAAGAGAGAGATGCAGCGCATCAAGACCATGTGGGGATACGACAAGACGCCCATGCTTCCGGCCGAGCTGCCTCCTGGCGAACACGACCTACACTACAAGGATCCCAACTCTCCGACGAAGAAGTCCAAGGCCTCGGGCTCCGGTCTCGAAGGTGCCGATAGCTCTTTTGGAAGCGACTCGGACGGCGGACATGGCGACGATGAAAAGTACCCGGGCACTTTTAAGATCTTGTCTCTTGCCTTGCTCGGCGAGGGCACCAAGCCTGCACCGCCGATCACTCGCGGCGAGTCGGAACGCAAGTACGAGACCGAGCTCCAGAGCAACTCGTGGCTCGCCGTCAAGATCCGCCGTTGGATCGGCAAGAACGAGACGGATGCCGTGATCGATGATAGTCGCTATACTTCCGGTCCCTGCAGATCAGGCACCGGTGCTGGTCGACGTCTGCGTCATGCGCTCAGCAGAGATCGCTTCAGAGCCGACGCAGACGGTCAAGACGTTTCAGAGAAGGAAGCTCTCCACTCTCCTGCGACCACACTTTCGGTCGGAAGTGGTGAGCTCAAGTACAAGGCAGAGTTTGCAACAGTCGACCTGCATCATTCGGATCCTTCGCTGCCGACCAACTTCCTGGCTTCGCCCACGCGCAAGTTCCAATACTCAGGTCTGAGCAGGAACGGTCCTGACGTTGACGACCCTTTCGTCGAGAAAGCCGAGACAGGCTGGAGGAAGCCGCTGCCGCCTCAGCCGCAGGAGTCGCCCTTCCGCCCAGCCGTTCTCAACTTTGGCCTGCGCTCGCGATCCAAGACGTACGACCAGGTCTCATCATACCCAGCTGCTGCGGAACGCGATACTCCTGTCAAGCCAACGGCAGCCTATGCAGCCATTGGCGACGAGGACGCCGGTATTGGAAGCGGATATTTGCCCAAGGCGTTTGGGCTCGGAATCAGCGGGGTCTGGAGAGCCATGACCAACTTTGGTGCCACTGAAGGCAGGCGGAACAATGTCGAGGATCACGAGGACGAGGAGAGCTTTGTGGCTCGACCGTACCGTGCGACGTCGGAGCTGATGAGCGAAAGCGATACGCCTTACTCCGTGCGCAATCAGGACAGGTACGGCGAGGCAGGGACACCAACGAGAGGCGCATCGCGCCACGAAAGCCCATACCATCATCAGCCACTGGCGAGAAACTCGACGGTACTCAACGTCAAGACCAACACCAACCAGCCGTGGAACGCTCGTCAGCAGGAGGCCAGTGGTGGCGCAGGAAGGAAGATGACGGCGGCGGCTTGGAACGAAGCCCTCCTCTCGAGTCCGGTCAACAAGCAGCAACAGCACCAGAACACCTTTCAGCCCTTGGTCTCTTCGGATTCCCCTCGCCCACCTCCAGCGGTCGAATCCACCAAGAGAGGTGTTCAGACCAATCTTGCTCCCCGCAAGAGCCTCTTGTTGCATCAAGCGATCGCAGCGAACAACGGCGTGGTGGATTCGACACACGGCGCTTCGCCCTCGTTTACCGACTACAGCGATCTCGTAGCTTGCTACTCGACCCCAAGCGATGCAGTCCAATCTCCGGAGGTGGCACACAGCATACGTGCCGTCACGCCGTCATTGCACACTGAGACGTCCGACGGTGGATCCAGAGCCAAGCTGCAGCGGGCCAAGACAGCCAAGAGCACGGAACCGGGCGCTAACGAGCGAGCTGTGCAGAGAAGCAAGACGGCAACTACGGACTCAACGCGTGGCGGACTGAGCCGGAAAGGAACCGTGCACCACACCGCCGTCAAGAAGGAGCGATCCACGACGCATGTGCAAGATGATAGTTCCGAGGCGGTTGCTGCAAGGGAAGTGTCTAAGGGCCTGTATCCCTATCCTTTGACGCAGCCTTTGCGACTGGCCAAGCAGGAGCCTGCGCGTACTGCCAGTCCCGAACGTTCCATTCCGATTCCTCAACGAGGCTCTTCATCGCCCGTCAAGTCGCACACGGTCTGGAACGCCCCAAAAACTTCTGGTGCCGGACCGCATCTCCCCTCTTCGCTGATGATCGCATCGCCAGAGCCTCTGCTTCCAGCCCATCCAAACCAGATCAGTCTGGGCGCCTTCCACTCTCGCGACTATGAAGGCTTTGCAAGCCTGAACGGTACTGATTCTGAAGGTGTATCGCCTCCCAAGAGGGCCAAGGCGGTCTCGAATCGAAGCGTCGAAGAGGACCCGAGCGCGGGCGCGGCAGCTGGAATGGCACGCATGGCAGCGCAGAAGGCCAAGAATCGATCTACGGCGCTGCAGACCGTCGATCAAATCGTCTCGCAAAGCTACGCCTCCCAGCTGCCTCCTCAGCAGTATCGCTCCTAGCAGTGCAACTGTCCTCGATCTGTCTTGAAATGCCTCGACTGCATGCGTTGTTTTTCCTACTTGTGCCAAGCTGTGGATGTGGAGCTAGAATCAGAAGGGTTGTGACCGCCACGCCCAGCACGGACAGCTCACCTCCCTTGAACTCTGGACAGACAGCGTGGGCAAACGGATCTTTTCCATGACAAAAGGTACATATACAGCAGGGGCGATACGAGTTCGAAATGCCAAACCTAGTGCGCGAGGACGGGGAGGTGGTTGTCGGACTTGTGCATGGTGGTGTCGACCTGGGTCGTCTTGAACTTGCGGGCAGGGACGCGCTGGGCAAAGAGCAGGTCGAGTTCCTCGTACGGGCGGTTCTTTGTCTCTGGCAAACGGAAGATGGCCCAAACGAGCGTAATAAGTGCGGTTCCTGCCCAGAAGAATCCGGTGTACCCTTTCAAGTTCCAGGCTGTGGGGTTCATAAAGTAGGGCTGGAGGACCTGCGAGATGACCGAGACGATGTAGTAAGCGTTGCGCGCCAGGCAGACGGTCTTCTGGCGGAGCCTTGTGCTGCCCACCTCGGCAGGCACGCTCCAGCCCATCTGACCGACAGAGAGCTGGAAGACAAACGTCCAGACGAGCGTGAGTACAGCCTGGGCCATGCCGACCGAGTCGTTGTTCGTGCGCGTGTTGAGGATGCCGATGATCAGGAGCACGAGGGCCATGGCAGCCATGCCCGAGATGTAGATGCGTCGGCGTCCGACGTAGGGCATGATGAAGAACCAGCTGCAGAGCGTGCCGACGAGCGCCATGCCTGTGCCGCCGACGTTGAGGTGGTAGGTCTGATCAGCAGTGAGGCCGACCTGCTGGAAAAAGTAGGTCGAGTTGTAGGCGAACGACGATCCCGACAGCACCTGACCGGCAAAGGCGACGCAGGCGATCTCGGTTCGGCGGCGCTCGAAGCCCCTGAAGCAGTCGCGATACGATGTGCCGACGGACAGCTGCTCCTCCATTGCGTTGGTCTTGGTGATGGCCGCGAGGGTGTCCTTGATGTGGTGGTCCGAGACGCTGCTACTGTACAGACGACGCAGGCTTCGCTCGGCCTCGTCGGGCCGACCCTGACGCACAAGGTGCCAGGGAGACTCGGGAGCGAAGAAGAGCAGAGGGATCAGGAACGCAGGCCACACCCACTGCAGAGCAAACGGAATGCGATACGCCCACTCGCTGTCAAAGTTGACCAGACCCGCCAGCACACCCGAAGCAATGAGCTGGCCGATGATGAAGCACATGTTGGTCCAACTTGTCATGTAGACACGCAGGTTGAGCGGCAGCACCTCGGAGGCGTAAGCGGGCGCGGTGGTGGCAAACACCCCCCAGGGCAGACCGCAAAGCAGCTGACCGATGAGGAGCATGACCACAGACTTGGCGAAGAAGGTGATGAAGATGAAGCACGAGAGCGCTGCGAGTGCGCCGATGAGCACACGGCGGTGACCGAAGCGCGTGACGAGAATACCGTTGAGCAAGGTGCCGAAGAAAGCGCCGACGCCGGAACCGTTGTTGAGGCCAGCCTGCCAGGCGGGCGTGAGCTGGTAGCCGGACTCCTGGTCGACGTAGTGTCCGTACTTTTGCGCGAATCTTGGAAAGGCGAAAAAGTTGCCGAGCAGGTTGAGGTCGTAGCCCTCCATGATGACACAGAGCGACACGACAAAGCACCACAAGAGACCCGTCTTGCACGCCTTGACCGACTGCCAGACGGATGCCTCGATTTCCTTTTGCGCGCTCTGCTTGGCACCTTCGTTGAGCTCGGTCACGGTCATCACCAGCGTAGGACCGGCCTCGGTGTCGATCTTCTCTGCCGAGCCATACTGCTTTTCGCCGAGCGACGACATTGCATTGGATGTTGATGAGGAGAAGGCTGTAGGGTATGGAGGTTGGAGAGCGTGTTGAAGCGGATGCTGGATCGATGAGCTTCAAGACGATTTTGACGCGAGCTTATATGGTAGTGTGGTGCCGAACATCTCAAGCCGTAGGTATGGTCATGTTACATGGTCCCCATACTTCCCCGCTCACCCCCACATCGGACAAAGCCGCTTTGGGGTGCATCGAATGTGTGTGCAGCAAGTGGGAGGCTTCGCTTCGGCAACGAAGCGTGCATTCCGGCATGCATTCGCTGCCGGCTATGCTTTATGCCAGCACCGTGGTTGGAGGCAAACTCGGCTGATTGGTCGAAAGCGTGCGGGGTTGGTGCGAGTGGCAAAGCGTTGCAGCGGGATGGGCCTTTGGCGTGGTGGGGGGGGGGGGGGGGGGGGGGGG